TGATAGGCAGAAACTACCGAGAACGGAAACCTTGCCTCAAGTGGTTTTATCGAGATACCGCAAGGCCCGACAAGGACAAAGAAAACTGTCGTTGTCAGAAAGTCCCGCCACAAAATCCAATGAAGGAATCCTAAAAGGATAGGGGAAAAGCCTGACACATGATTCTTGGCCAAGAAAGCAGGATCGATGACCATAGAGACAGGAGTATAGACCTTAGCACAAGGAAGACAAGAAGGCATGAATTTCACTTCGTCTGCGCGCCGAAGTCAAGGCAATGAGAAAGACTTGAAGGTGAGAAATTTCAAAGAGGCATTCCCAAGAGGCTCATAAGGGACTCTAGTCAAGGAATCTAGTACGAACACTAGATTCCATTGTAGGGCTAGCTGCCTAACGCTAGGTCTGGCCAAGCCAAAGCTACTAAGAAAACCTGATAAGGAATAAGACCCATGAATGGCAAAGACGCTGGCAGAAGCAGAATGACAGCTAGCTATAGTTCTAGGGGCAAGGTAGATGGTGGATTGGTAGATGGCAGAAGAGGAGAACCTGACTGATCTCGCGATGCTCTCTGACACGTCCTCATAAAAGCCTGCCTGAGCAAGGCCTCCTGTGATAGCCTCAACGCGTGAAAGTTGAGAATATGAGGCTGTGAGTGCATCATGTTGGAACGAGCTGCCGAAGGAGGTCTCGACTGAATGGCTACCACAAGGGCTGGTCCACCAGTAGAGACAGTAACTCCGGAAACCAAGGCTGCCTCGGCCAAAGGAGAGCTATCAGAAGATGAGAACAGGAATGCTATAGCCAAATTTCGAGCCTTCACAAAATTGTCCTCTGGTGGGAGGACAATGCCCAGAAACGATAACCAAGAACCACATAGTCCAGAGAAGGACCTCCGGCTTCTCTCTGTGGGGAATGATGCCTACCTTCATCAAGAGCTTCAGGACAAAAGCGGGTGTCCCACACCTACGAATCCCTGACCATGTGTAACATGAGGGAATCTTCGAAGTAGATGTGAACATCTATACTCTGCGAGGGCAGGAAACTCACCACCACCTGTAACAGTTTGGTAAAAATCAGAGGGGCAGTGTTGAGGCCGAAAGGCATGGCTCAGCTGTCCTGAGTGATTTCCCTCCACTGAGGAAGGAAGAAGTCCAGACGGCCGCCTACCAGAAGATTCGGTAACGTAACGTCTAAACCCTCCCACACAGCGGAAACGGGGCCGGCAGACACCAGACCAACGTCTGCCCTACCCGTGACAACTCGTTATGGTATGGAGGGAAGAAACAAATCAGGAACTCGACTTCCCTTGGGAAGGAGGTTTCTTGCCACCCTTCCCCTTCTTCCCTTTGGCTTTGAAAAGAGTCTTAGACTCTCCCAGCAGGACGCCGCTTAGGATCAGGCCTAGACTTCTTCGCAGCAGGACCAGGTCCCTATGATGAACTAGGACCACTGGACCCATGCTTATTGAAAAAATATCAGAGGCCACCGAGTCCTCTTTCAGATCCTTCTGAATAGCGGGTAAAACAGAGTAGGACCATTGAAGGGGTCGTCAAAAGGCGAGAACGGAAGGGCGATCTTCTCACGAAATATGAGGGCAATGTCTGCTCTCGAAGCACGCATGCCCGAAACGAGAAACCTCCTAATCCTCAGCCTCGTCCGGCGACTGGGACTTGCCATCAGAAGGAGCAATATCAGAAGAAGGGGTTTCTGATCAGAGGTCATCAACCTCGGAGCATCCAGGCGAAAGAACGCCACACTCTGCTGTGCCCGATCCCTCACAGTCCATAGGTTCCGAGGTATCCACATCCTTAGGAAGGGATGCCTTAGGAACAGAAGAGGAAGTCATTGGAGCCATCTCCAGCCTAAGTTGTGTAGACTCCGGGGCCCCAGGATTGACCAAACTGGTCTGCCTGAGACTGGGGCTGGAATCCTTGACCAGAGGCCAAAGGAAATCCGCCACTCCCTCCGGAAGCAGACCCAGGCGTGTACGACAGTTCTGCGTTGTGATAAAAGTATATTGGTTTGGAATTACTAAAGAGAAACTGGTGAAAAGAATAATGTTATATGTAATGGATATATTAGGGACTTTAATACGTAGACTTGATGGAATAGAGGAACAGATACAGTGTTGGACAGCAGTTATTATATATATATATTCAATATATGAATGACTTACACGTATCTATGTTCTACATCACTTTTTCTGTTTATATCTCATCTCTTTATCTTCAGGACCCCTTACCTCTTTCCTGTTTTCTTCTCTTACAATCTGTTCATCATATTCACTCTGCAATCGTCCCTTTATTGTTTTCACACGATTAAACTGTATGTGTGTTCAATCCTTTTGTTTATAAACAATAAAATATGTTTTATCGAATTTTGAAGAAGTTGTACATCAGCTATCTTCAGGTACTTTCAAAAACGAGAGAAAAAAAAACAACAACAAAAAAAAAAAAAAAACACGTAAGAACAAAAACTTTATCAAATCTCTAAATATCAGTTTCAGGTATGATAAAAACATATTTCCCCTACCAGCCCTCACTAAAATGAGAAACAGTGACCTTGAACCAACCATCAACTCTGAAACTTGACCTTGACTAAGATAATTTGACGTTTTATAAGTGGTTGAATTTTGATGAGAATCCCAGGAGGAGAGAAACCACTAGAGCGTTGAAAATGATTATCTGAAAATAGTAACAGTGGCCTTGACCCAAAAACCCAGAAACTCGAATTTGTCCAGGATATCTTGATGCTTGGTAAGTGTGTCAAGCTTGATTAGAATTCCTCAATGAATGAAACCGCTAGGGCTGCTGACGAACTTTCACAGACGCAGGGACGGACGGGAGGACATATATAAGTCATTGATCTCGTTAATAAATCATCATTTATCTAAGACATCTTAATCTCAGACAAGTTTTATAGCAGATCAGATATGTACTAAATACATTTGTACATGTATACGTAAATTCTAGCAATAAAGAAATGGACGAAAGCAACATGCGAGTGTTTAATATTTTTGTAAGAAATTTAGGATTTTGGTATCGATCACTTCGAGACAAATAATACAATATTGTTAAATAATGAGAGGTTCCTGCCGGACTTCTCCTTCCCCGGCCAAAGAAAACAAAATAGTAAATAATTTTGCGGCTACTATAACGACTAAAAAGACAATGTTATTTTGTGTTGATATTATGGAATATTTTGTCTATTCATATCAAATCAAGTATTAATTAATATTAATAAGTTTGTACTGATTAAGTAGTACTTTATTGACAAAGACTCGGCGACTACCGGTTGTCTTTCTTCTACTGTCGAACCATTGAAATGATCCATCGACAATCTGATGTAGCAGAGTGGATATTACGGGAACGTTGGTCAAGATATGTTTTCTAATCAGACTGGTTCAACGGATTCAAGTGTCCTAACAGTTTATGTTCAATATTTATCTTATGTGCACAAAATACCCCATATCGAGTCAGTTTGCTCTTGTAGAATTTGAGCTATATGTTGTCCTGCTGAAGTAACCTCGAATGAGGATTGTTCTTTCGAGAATCATGTTGAAGTGAGTAAATGTGTCCCATCATCACTGATCGTAATGATTCCGATTTTCCCATTGTTTTTTCTGTTGAGTTTCCAGACAGTAACAACTCTGCTTCCCCATCTTTTACATGTTACGGTTGATTCTGGATATATAGGACAGTATCACGATTTTCATGGATTATGTAGAATACTGACGGATTCGAACGATATGGCTTAATGGAAACTAACAGAATGTTGTCTGGTCGTCAGGATGATCACATTGGGAAATATCTCATTTCCTTGTGAGATATGTTTGATGCACAGTTCCGTCGTTTACCTTGTTCTCATTCATTCATCATTACTTACTTGAGTTCTTAGACACGTTCTCAACTACTTGAATATAAAGCTTTTGAGATCCATCAATTAGGTTGAGAGTTAAGATTCGAGATCTCGGGGCCATGGCGTTTAAGCCAGCTGTTGCTAATTAACCTTGACCTCCTGTTAGTTTGAGAATGACATTTCTAAATTAAGATTAACCAAAGTTTACATGGCGGATGCTCTTTAGGAAAACATGCAATCACGAAACCGTACCATACTCTAATAAACAATCTCTGCTCATGGCCAAGCACTCTGGGTGATATGATAACTGAATTGACATTTTTTCAATGATTTAAAGGAATTTCGGAGAGTATTTCAGCAAGATGTTATTTTCAATGTTTACGTTTTCTTTTAAACTATTAATTCATTATTCAAGCCAATTCAAAGCAGGTTTTGATCTATATTCTGTATATTTTGTCGATTTTTAAAATTGTTGTACAGTGTCCTCTCTCAGCTCTTTGTGTTTGTCCAACTGTATGATTGCTCTTAACATCTACTTCATACAACTAGAAAAGGTAAAAATACAAATTCGGCAGTACTTTGAGTATGGATAACTATATCTGGCAAACACTCCTTCAGAATGTATATGTATGAACTCTGACCATTTTTGTTTGTTTTAGTAGTAGTAGTGTGAACAAATACTGAATGAGGAATACAAGAACGAATATTCTATCAATTATGGGAGCAAAAACAACACTTAATGACTTCAGTGTCTCAACATGTAACTCAATAGCACCACTGGAACTAGAGTGGAAGTATAAAATATCAACACTGTTGTCTTGCTTTCCTTCATACCAACAATTTTCAGCTAAATTGCACAAGTGGGACTTAAATAAGTCTGTAATGTAAGATTCCCCTTCTTTGAACATTTTGTGTTTCCCAGATCATGGGGATCTGAGAGCTCAGAGGATCCTGTGCTGTAAAAGTTGTGTTCTAGAGCAAGCTATTCTAGCCTCATTGCTCTGGATTGGATGTGATAGACATCTTGCATGATGTTCTGGAACAAAACATTTCCTTAAAATGATCCTGGCAGTTCAAAGGGGAGTAAACCCAGCGAACAAACATACAATATTTATAGATATTAAAAAAAGCACACACGACATTGGTAATATATAACGGTTTATTACAGCATATATTGCTGTTACTACCCTAGGACGTGGTAGGTGCCTCCTAGCCATGCCAAGTGGCTGTGTACACACGACACAACACAAACACATCCACAAGTCGTACATCAGGTCAATAGAACTCAAGGAAATAAGAACAACCATTCACCCACATTATCCGAATAACACTACATGTAAATCAAATATATAACATCATAAGTTCCTTAAAAAATGGGATAAAAATATTGTCAGACATATTGCATAACAGGTGATTTCCATTAACTGCTGGTTATATATACGCTGTCCTTACTGAAGCACTTCCCCCTAAGGTGGTTAATATCAATATCAGTCAAAATAACCATATCCACCTCATACGAGGAGAGTAATTGTAAAAAAGTAGTTCATGTCAAAAATATGTTCAATGTATTGCCATCACATATGTGTATTGAGGAAAATCAATGATAAGTTCAATTTTTTTACAAATACATTGGGTGATGTTAAACTGATATGAAAATGTTCATATTGACCTCAATGTATTTCAACAGGTGATGGTTTTCAATCTACATCATGGCAGAAACAGCCAGTATACATAACTGAGGCAACTGAATATTAATACTCCATGCAAACTTGCTTTCAAAATGTTAACTTTCCACACTAGTTTGCTTCTGGTTTTATTAAAAAAAAATATTGCAATGAAGCTATTCCAATGAAAAAGAAAGGTGTTTTTTTTGCAAGAAAAAATAAATCCATGCTATTTTGATCAATTTCATGTTAAAATGCAATAAAGATAAGGATATGATTGCTGTGGCTGAAGTAGATTTTATATGCGTAAAACATGTATGGTACACAGGTAAAACATTAATGAATTCATACTTTCAAAAGAAGCGAAAGGGATGTTATAAAAAAAATTTAAATGTGAGGATTTTAGTTTAAAAATTTCATAATTTAGCATAAAGTTTGTTATAGTGTCTTTCTTAACATTTTTTTTCTGAAAGGATATGAGATCTCTTCCACACTTGGATGACTAGACTGGAAGTTATACATATTTACCAACACATATCTAATTTTAAAAGTTTTAATTATTGTATTTTCACATCAGTTGAATGATACAATTTAATAGTATCAATACAATCATTTATGATAAAATGCCTCCCTACAATTTTTTCTAGTGCTCCTGTGTAAAAACGAAGGCCCTGTACTGCAGTATACAGCTGATTTTATGACGCCATTCATTACAACCTGTCTTTAATAGGGAATTGGCTTTGTTTGTGACTAGCTTACACATGTGACCATATACTGACACATATTTTGATAAAAAATTATAGAGTAATACAGAGCACTGAAGAAAAATATGCAATAACATAGTGTGAATAGAAGAAATAAAAAAAGGAATAAAAAGTAGAAAGTTGACTCTGAACTGAGCCTAGCAATAAATGACTGTGAGTAGAAATCTGATTTTGTTAAAGTGACTAGCAAGTGCTGCAATAAATTGTGACTCATATTCAGATAAAAATGATAATACTGAGGATTGTGAAAATAAAGCATTCTGAATTAAAAACTATATGCTACTTTATGGGTTTATACAAAATACTGCCATTTAAAAGCAAAGAAAACTATATACATCATGAAAATCTCCTAGTTTTAAAATTAAATTTAAAATTCCCTGACAATGATACTATTGTGTATAAATGTTTTTGTAATTGAACATGAATTATTCATCATTTGTGAGGAAATTACCGTTCAAATTGACAAATTACAGCATAAAAACTATTTCTTTTCTAACCTACTTACTTTCAAACTGTTATCATTTCAAAACGTCTATTTTACCAAGTGATCTACTTTGTAAATTTAATCTTCAAAGCGGTTTTAATAATTTACCTTACTCTAACATTTTATCTAGGAGAAAGTAATGGATATGTTTCTCTAAGGGTACATTTCCCTGGTATTCCATGTTAAAAGATAAATCTTGCTACTCTGAAATCATTGGAAGGCATTTTTGCAAGGATGATATTTTCCCTATTTTGCAGTACATTAATCCATTAAATACTGAGACACATGTTATATGTCCTTTTACATTCAGGTTGCAAAATTTTGATTCCTTCAAATATAATTTGATATTCTAAAAGAAAATCGCAAAAAAAATGACAAGTGAAAATTACCAGCAATACAATAATTTTGCTAATGCAAGTTGTAAAAGAAAATGATATCAAAATCAAAAGCTTCTTTCAGGAATTATTGATCATGTATAAAGAAAATAAATGATGCCATCTAATATGCTTCTAGACAAAAAGGCACAAGATAGAGCTATTATCTGTTACATGGCACAGTATTGAAACCTGGTCCAAGATATCTGTTACATGAAACAGTACTGAAATCTGATAAAGACTGGGCAAAATGCTGTGAATTACCAACAACTATCTTAATGGCACATTTTTGACAACAAATCTTCACATTATTCAGCCAGGTGTGTAGCTGCCTTTATGCAAATACACAGCTGCGTACTCATCATAAAAAATGACACAATTTTTCCCAATTATCCAAATTTTCCAGCTTTTGTAGGCTTTGCTCCTGCACTACCAAATCCATTCCCATCAGCGTACACATCAAAATCACTTTGCTATGAGCCTGTCAGCAAACTCAAGAACAAATTTAAATCATCCTTAGTTCAGTATTCACTTACATTTGTATCTGATGTAACTTGATATACATCTTTAACCAAAAACACTAAATTTAAGTCTAAAAAATTTGATACAAATTCTTTATGATCAGAAAATAACTTCCGCAGTAAGAATATCTAAATTTTCTGGAAAAAGATTATCCATCTTAATATTATTTTCATAGAACTTTCATTACATATTTAATTTCAGTGTACCATATTGAGTTTTCATTTCATCAATGCATCAATGTCTGGTACACGAGCACAAAATCCATGTTATTCTGCTTCTCCCTTTAAATGTGACCTCATTTACTGATGCCTGAAGTGCAGCCTTCACTTTTTGCAAGAATAAATTTCTGTCAATTACTTTGAAAATAACTTTGAACGAAAAAAGAAAACTATAAAGGGAGATAACTCCATAGGATAGCTACCAGCATGCCCAAGTGTTTAACTATTAAATACAATATACTTACATAAATAGCTATATCTTAAGTATTTTTTTTGAAAGCCTATATATGTTTAAAGAGCTTATATTACAAATTAATTTCTGGTAGCTACCATATGACCTAGAAGTAAATTCTGCTAAAATCTACTTGTTATAAAAAATAACTTTCTATAAAGCTGTCTTAAAAGTACCATAACTGAAGGTATTGTCTCTTTTACAAATCACAAAAATATTTATCATAAAACTATCAGCTTCTATTTTTTAAACATGGCAATTTCAAAACTTTACATTGGCATCACTGACAAGTTATATGGATTGATTAAGCAGAGTTTAAATGAGCCAAAATTATAGCTAAATAGATATAAGTATATGAGTTACAGCCGATATTGAGCTATGCCGCTGAGGTGCAAATTTTCTATTTCTGTAAATACATGTTTACCCTATATGAACCAATCGTTGTGGTTATTTGGTCATCACACACAATTTATGACAATTTACCCGAAAAAAAACCATAAAAAGGTGGTCAAAATCACACAATGATCACAAATGTATCATTTCGACACCATATAAACACTTGGTTCTAAAACTGCATAGTGCGGTATTGATGAAGGTCATTTTCACAAGTCACATAATCCTTCACAATTGAAACTGATCATTTAATATCCACAAATTTACTGATGTTATTAATGTTGTTCCACAGATATTCAACTGAGTTCTCAATTCTACAGGCAGTGTTGAATTTTTCATGATGTTATCTTTCGATGTCCGCAAAAGATCAGATACACACTCAATTAAACACATTATTAAAAATTCATGATGTTACTTTTATCTTTGAACACTTTTTTTTTTCTTTTTTTTTTTGAATTCAGATAAACACACATTTAAAATGTGAATTGTTTGGTGGTGCATCATCGCTTCCAAATCTCAGACGTATTGGACAAAAATTCAAAAACACCTCAATTGAAGTCATGTTTGAGAAATATACACATTTTGTTCTGTATAGAATGTGTGGGATATTCAGATTGGGTGAAAAATCTTAATATCTGGAATGAGAAGTCATAAAAAAAAATAAAATCTGGCACAAGAATTCATTGAATATTAAACTTGCTTGAGGTCTTTCCTGGGATATTGTTTAGTAAATCAAAACATTTTTCATATTGTATACCATCACCTGCCACTGTTAAGACAAAATTCTATCAACAGACACAACTGGGTAATTCCAAGCCTCTTAATTGACTCTATCACACCAATGTTCATGAGGCAGAGAATGCATCACTCTAAAGGTGTAACTAAGTGCACGGCAGTCACCATAGAACAATGGTGTAAATAAGTGAGGCCTATGGTATATTTCCGGTTACAGTGCAACCTGTTGGGCAAGACTGTCCAACAAAGGGAGGTCACTTTGTGACTAAAATATCCAGAGAGCCAAAGTCGTCTTCCAAATGCATTTCCAGAGGAACAAGTTCAATGCTGGGGTGGGCTGGTGGATAGAGGGCTTGACTTGGGGCTGGTGCTGAGCCTGGAGGGTGAGGATGAGTAGATTCCGGTTGGACGGTCACACTCCTCCATAGACATGCTTCGCTGCTTGGTCAAGTGTTGCTCTGTACTAGAGCTGCGACGAACTCGAGGCATTGGAACTCCACCCACTGTGTAGAGAAAAGTTTACTAAATTAATATTTTATTAAATGGAGTTTCATCTCACTGAATTTACAGGATTTGGAAGAAAACAAGAGGCTTGGAAACTCCTCTGAAGAAATAGCGATCACAAATTTCAATGCCAAAATGTCAAGGATGGCCATCTGTCGGTCATATTCTTTTTCCGATCAGTCCCAAAATGAAAATGGCACAACTAAGGATCAAGGGCGACCTTCATATAAAATTTGAGAAAGATCCATCCAGTTCTTCTCAAGAAATGGTGATATCAAGAATTGTTTAAGGACAAATGGATGATGATGCTAAAAATATCAGAAAACATATTAACACCATATTATCTGCAAAAAGAGCCATGTAACAGACTGCACAATAAGCTAAAACTTCACCATTACCACTGAGTTTAAGCTTAGAAAGTAATTAAATGGACTTAAGACTGAGCTGATGATTTCACCACTGTAATGATCAAGGGGAAATAATCACATTGCAACAGCTTCACCAGTAACCTTGCCAACAGGAAAATTCTATTAAGTGAATTGAATCTAAGCAAATCTATATTTATTTCCTGATCAAGAACTTCTTCATTAATGTTTCATTTACAGAAAAACATCCTTTAGTTATTCTGTAAAATTCTTAAAATTTCTGTAAATTGAACATTGATTCTCTTTTCATCTTATTAAATAAATTTGGAGAAAATTAGAACTTACTGACTCCAAGGCCTTGAGCGAAATAGATGAAAGACTCGGCCAATTTCTCTGGCTAGAAGGAAAGAACAAAACCATTGGAAACTAAATATATGGGTTACTTACATGGATTTTTTTTATCACATAGTAATGTATACTTTGCATTGCTATATATTACTAGGACAAATCACATGTCATAACAAAGCATGACATTTGATATTTTCAGGATATTTCTTAAAATAACACTTCAAAAAGTTCAGAATATAAACCTCTAAAATTTCAAATTGATAATCTTTCCTGAAACATTTCAAATGTAAAGCAAAAAAAAGCTAACTTTAGTGTGTGACATTTGTATATTTTTCTTAAATCAAACATGTAAATCAATATTACCCTTTCTTCAATCACATTGGCCACTCCATCAAACTCAAGCAAATCCACCTGGTTTTTAGCTAGCTGCTGGGTCATGTGACCAAAAAGGGTATGGACAGTGTGGTTGAACGATGCTTTTGATCCTGTCACAGTCAGTACTCGGCACCTGCAGTTAAAATAACACACAAAGAACATCAACAGAGATCCTATAACAGTCATTGCTTGCCACCTACAGTCAAAATAACACACCAACATCAACAGAGATCTCATCACAATCAGTACTCGGCACCTACAGTCAAATTAACACACCAACAACATCAACAGAGATTCTGTCACGGTCAGTGCTCGGCAATTATAGTCAAATTAACACACCAACAACATTGACAGAGATCCCATCACAGTCTGTGCTCTGCACCTACAGTCAAATTAACACACCAACAACATCAACAGAGATCCCGTCACGGTCAGTAACACACCAACAACATCAACAGAGATCCCATCACGGTCAGTACTTGGCACCTACAGTCAAGTTCACACACCAACAACATCAACAGAGATCCCATCACAGTCTGTGCTCGGCACTTACAGTGAAATTAACACACCAACAACATCGACAGAGATCCCGTCACAGTCAGTACTCGGCACCTACAGTCAAATTCACACACCAACAACATCAACAGATATCCTGTCACGGTCAGTACTCGGCAATTATAGTCAAATTAACACACCAACAACGTTGACAGAGATCCCATCACAGTCTGTGCTCTGCACCTACAGTCAAATTAACACACCAACAACATCAACAGAGATCCCGTCACGGTCAGTAACACACCAACAACATCAACAGAGATCCCATCACGGTCAGTACTTGGCACCTACAGTCAAGTTCACACACCAACAACATCAACAGAGATCCCATCACAGTCTGTGCTCGGCACTTACAGTGAAATTAACACACCAACAACATCAACAGAGATCCCGTCACGGTCAGTACTCGGCACTTACAGTCAAATGAACACACCAACAACATCAACAGAGATCCTGTCAAAGTCAGTGCTCGGCACTTGCATTCAAATTAACACACCAACAACATCAACAGAGATCCCATCACAGTCTGTGCTCGGCACTTGCATTCAAATTAACACACCAACAAGTCATAACACACCAACAACAACAGATATCCCATCACGGTTAATACTCTGCACCTACAGTCATGTTCACACACCAACAACATCAACAGAGATCCCATCACAGTCTGTGCTCGGCACTTGCAGTCAAATTAACACACCAACCACATCAACAGAGATCCCGTCACGGTCAGTACTCGGCACCTACAGTCAAATTCACACACCAACAACATCAACAGATATCCCATCACGGTTAATACTCTGCACCTACAGTCATGTTCACACACCAACAACATCAACAGAGATCCCATCACAGTCTGTGCTCGGCACTTGCAGTCAAATTAACACACCAACCACATCAACAGAGATCCTGTCACGGTCAGTACTCGGCACCTACAGTCAAATTCACACACCAACAACATCAACAGAGATCCCATCACAGTCTGTGCTCGGCACTTGCATTCAAATTAACACACCAACAACATCAACAGAGATCCCGTCACGGTCAGTACTCGGCACCTACAGTCAAATTCACACATCAACAACATCAACAGATATCCCGTCACGGTCAGTACTCGGCACTTACAGTCAAATTAACACACCAACAACATCAACAGAGATCCCGTCACGGTCAGTACTCGGCACCTACAGTCAAAATAACACACCAACAACATCAACAGAGATCCCGTCACGGTCAGTACTCGGCACTTACGGTCAAATGAACACACCAACAACATCAACAGAGATCCCGTCACGGTCAGTACTCGGCACTTACAGTCAAATGAACACACCAACAACATCAACAGAGATCCTGTCAAAGTCAGTGCTCAGCACTTATAGTCAAAACAAGAGATCCAAGTGGGATCTTGGCGCCCACCATTTGAGGATCTATTTTCAGTTCTTGAAGATTTGTTTATTTTTTTTTTTTTTGTTACAGGTTTTGTAAATGTTCATGAACTGGTCTTCATTGAATGTACTCAATGATGGCACAAGATATTTTTATTAAGCACCTATTAGCAAATATCATTTGAAAAAGATCCCAAAGTATTATTAGATAGCAGTCAGTTACAGGTGGATAATGGACATGGTCTTGTATCAATATGATAGAATATCAAAGAAAATATGCTTGTGCTGTATTACTGTCGACATCCAAGATGGCTGCCTGTGGGCCACCTTGATTTCAAATCTGTCCAAAAAAAGTACAATGCACAACTAGGGACCAAGGGAAACCAATACCTATGAAATATCAGAAGTATCCATCCAGTACTTCCTCAGAAATAGCAGTCAAGATTTTACTCTCAAAATCCAAGATGGCTGTCTGTCAGTCATCTTGATTTCGGATCAGTCCAAAAAGATAAAATGCACAATAAAGGACCAAAGGGAACCTGCATATGAAATTTGAGAAAGATCCATCCAGTGCTTTCCAAGAAATAGCGATAACAAACTTTTACTTCCAAAATCCAAGATGGCCGTCTGTCAGACATCTTGAATTCAAATCAGTCCAAAAAAGGTACAATGCACAACTAGGGACCAAGGGGAAACTGCATATGAAATTTGAGACAGATCCATCCAGTACTTTCCCAGAAATAGCTGTAACAAACTTTTACTTTCAAACTCCAAGATGGCTGCCTGTCAGCCATCTTGATTTTGAATCAGTCCAAAAAAGGTACAATGCACAACTAGGGACCAAGGGGAACCTGCATATGAAATTTGTGACAGATCCATCCAGTACTTTCCCAGAAATAGCGGTAACAAAGTTTTACTTCCAAAATGGCCGTCTCTCAGCCATCTTGAATTCAAATCAGTCCAAAAAAGGTAAAATGCACAACTAGGGACCAAGGGGAAACTGCATATGAAATTTGAGAAAGACCCATCCAGTACTTTCCCAGAAATAGCGGTAACAAGAATTGTTTACAGACGGACGGACGACGGACCACGGACGCAGGGCGATTTGAAAACCCCGTCACAGTTAGTACTTTGGTCTGGCAGTTGATATCACTTATCAACAACATCAACAATCATGGATCCCCTCACAGTTTCTACTGCATGGACACTTAAAGTTAAAATGACATGTCTACTCACAGAGATCCTGTTATGGTCAGTACTCAACACTTAAAGTCAAAACTAAAACAGTGACCTTGACCTTTGAACTTGGGATACAAACAGCAATATCATAAGCAAGCTTTTTTGGTAAGGAAGATTGTGTGAAGTTTGTGTAGATTGGGGAAATTATTACACAGAAACTGATTTTAATTTATAGTTACATTGACCTTTGACCTTTGGACCTGAATGGCAATCCATCTCAAAACAAGCACTTTTGGTTAAGAGGCCTTACATGAAGTTGGAGTTAGAGGTGTGAGGTATAAGTCTGATTGGCCAAAGCAAACTTGAGTTATCGCAGGGAAACTGATTTTTCTATTTACAGTAATAGTGACCTTGATTTTTGACCTTCAAAGCTAAAAAATCTGTAAGCATTGTACAAGGTTTGAGTTTGATTTTTCAATATAGATTTGAGTTATCAACAGCAGCGTTTAACAATATGTAATAACAATAGAGAGAAACTGATAGCAGATATTGACTGATTTTCTGTTAAGTATCATATATAATTCAAAAGTGAAAACCATGGTTTTAATGTATTTGGTTTCACTGCATAGAATGTTTGCTGAGAACAGGAATGTGGTAAAAGTTTGATGTTAAAGCAGACATACCACTTTGTAAAAACGAACACTTAAAAAATTTTTTTTTGCAAGAGCAAATTAATGTTTCCCCATTTACAATAGTCACATGCTATTTAAATGACACATTGGGTCCTTATTATGCCCTTCGTTTTAGACATTAACTGTATTCATACTTACTTTGACAATTTTTGGGTAAATTAGAACTATGAGGAATTTGCATATCCACATCTATCACTTTAATATAAGCAGCATACAGAAACTGTTGTTACTGCAATCATAATTTAGCACTATACTTTTCAGTGCAAAAAATGCTTAGATTACTGCTTTAATATATACGTCTGTCTGAAAGGTTTTATTATCACACGTGGATGATCACAATATGTATACATCAGATACACACATACACATTCACCATGTAACTGACAGAAGTCACAAACTAGATTATATGGCCCTTTATGGACTTACAATAATTTTTAACAAAATTGTGCTTTGGAGCTAAAATTTTTTTGATAGATTAATATTCCCTCAGACAATAATTTTCAGAATAATGAGTTGTCCAGCTGGTGCTGTTGAGTGACTTTTTTAAATGATTGCAGGCAGAACTTAGGTTGATATACTTACTTGAGCTTTGACAGGTGATCAGCAATGTTGGAACGTCTGCAATACAAAACAATTAATTTTGAGCGAAATTTCAACACTGCTGGCAAGTTCTATGAAGGCTGACTTTAAGCCCAACACTTGCACATAAACCATGCAAGCTAAGCGTTAAAGGGACATAACTGTAAGAAAAATCATTTAAATGAAAATTAAACTGCTCCAATACTGTGTATGGCAATTCAAGTCCCCCATATACATATTGATGTTCAGTTAAATTGTAAGCTTAAGTGCCATTCCAATGTCCTGTAATAAGCCCATCCCATATCTTTGATTATAATATGATGTGTCAGTTGCATGGGCTTTGAGAGTTAATACAGTGTCTAAAGTATCGATCACCAGTAATAATTTCCATTGAAATCCATTGTTACAGCTACAGAGTTATAACATTGGTGGTGTATGAGTAATGTTAAACTCTCTACCATCAATAGCATAGGGCTAACCAATAACTATTTTATGAAGAGTAGATCAGGACCACTGTTAATCATGGTAGAGAGATGCTGGATAGCATTAAACTGGACCTGTATAAAGAAGCTACAGGACTCCTGAGCATCAGCTTTAGGATGACATGTTATTCTTACTGTAAAACAACTTTCACAAGTGAAGCAAAATTTTGGAAATTTATTGCCACAAATTACTGAAAAATCATATTTTCATGGAGTTCAAATTTTGTGCTTTTCCTAGAAAATATGTTTATGTTGTCACTTGATTTTGACAATAAATCTTGCTAAAAAAATCCACTAGTGCTATATCTATGTCAACTTTATCTGTTTGTTATCTCAAGTACATATAAAATTTATGGATTTAGAGTATCCACGAATTAAATGAAAATAAATACCAACAAAAACAAATAATTTTACAGTAAAATATTAACCATAAACACAGACTTTTATTGTTATACTTAGTTGATTAATAATGATGAATGTAATGATCAGTTACCTAAAGCACAGTTTATCTTTAGTTTATGTGTGTACACTCATGTGGCTATGATGGCATTTCTGAAGTCTTGGTTTTTTATATCTGTTCACTGAAGTTGCGGACAATTCATTCTTTTCAGTGTTTGCTTCTGAGGAGTCTGTTTGGAAACTAAGGTGTAGATCACTATAGTGAGTTAGAATTTACTGACAGAAACTGTCATGCATATGAAGTCATGCAAGCTTTAACAGATCTGTGATCAATACTCACATTGCTATCGGTACAGAAGCACAAGACACCTAATTAATTTTGAAGCTAATAAGACTGGTTTATTTGTCAGACCAGTGTGTAACATTCACTGTTAATGAAGTGTCAAAAGTCATTTCGGTCTATGACCAGGTAAAGTGACTTGTGTCCCTCAAACACCCCAATGTCAAACTACAACCAATAGTAGCTAAACTGATAACCAGAAACGAGGCACCGCACAGGGTTTAAAAGAAGACCGAGTTCCTAAAATTCTAAAAAATTGTGATTCAGAATATTCCCGACATAGTTTATGAAAGACAAAAGGTGTGAAAGAATGTTCGTTGTAAGATGTTGGATGCAAGAAAAGGACTTTACTTCAGGCTCTAAAGTTAATCCTCAAAACAATTTTTTTCTGTTGCAACACTGAAAATAATCAAAGATAAGGCCAATGCACTTACTTCATGAAAGAATGTACAAATCGCTGGAGATTATGAGGGTTGATCTTTGAGCGCAGTGTATCAAGGAATGTATTCACTATTTTATTTATTTCATCTTTGCTGCTTGCTTTGTCAAACTGAAATAGGAAAAAGGTAATGGAATGAATACATGACTGTTACTGAAAGAATGAGATTAACTAATAAACTTAATATTCTCTTACAATAATGTCTCAATTCTCAGGTGCATCCTGATTCTTTAAAAAAAAAGAGAAGAAAAGTTCTGTTAAATTACATGAATCTTTTTTCACATCTGAGTAAGCTTTTAATAATTGGTATCCAATCTATTTTATATTGTAATGAAACTGTCAAAAGAAAGTATCACATAACAATTTTCTCTCTAACAAAAATGTGAAAAATATTTCTTAAAGATTTAAAATTGAAACAGTTTTTACTTTGATTAAAAAGGGTTTTAGGTTTTTTTCTCTGTAATAAGCCAAAAGGAACATGCAATGAACTTTCCATTTTGACAAGATACCAAAAAATCTTTTCATATGAGTGTTTCCCCACACATCAAAAATCTGATTAAATCAAATCAGCTGAAAATACGAGTGTGAAAAGCTCTGGAATTAATCCTCCGGTTAGTAAAACATCTAAATAAAAAGATCTATCAGCTTTTCTTCAAAGTCTGAAACTGCTGCACGTTTCCTTAATTAAATCTGAACCCTGAAATCCTTGACGTAATTCAGTTAAAAAGAAATGTTTGTGTCTAGGTGGTGCATGTTAATTGTAATCCACCCTTCTTTCTAGCAAAAATGACTAGATTGTCAGTTGCAGATATCCTTGAAAAATTTTACCTTGTAAATGATGACATTATTTATCATCAGATGAAATTAGATTGTTTGAATTTAACCAGACTATTCAATTTTTGTTTTGAAAATTTTAACCCTGAAAGAAAACGTTTGCATGTAAAAAATATATAGGTTAATTGTTCTTGTACTTTACAATGCAGTAACATTTAATACCTATCATTTCTAGGACTTTCTGGCCATAACTTTTCAATGAATGAAAATATAATTACAGACGTCAGTGTTCACGTGATACAGTCATCTCCAACATGGCAATTATTTTTACATAATATTTAAACTTTTACTTTTGCAAGTAAATAAACTATGATAGAGTGCTCTCAATAGGAATTGAAGATGAGTGGATATGTTCAAATGATCATCTGTTAAAATTAGAACTCTATTTGCTTGAGACTACAAAAAGTCTCTTTACCTTGTCCCTTTCATGGATCAGCAGATAAAACAAAAATTCTGAGTTGGAAATACTAGGCTGTGTGGAGGAAAAAAGAGACTTCAAATGACCAATTAACAACACCTAGCAGATTCAGGCTTTTTGATGTATGGTAGTCTGCTTAATCAGGATCTATATGGTCCTTCATATCCTAATTGCTGCTGTACTGTCAAAGTCCCTACCAACAGAATAGGTTGTCATGACAACAAAACTAATGATGTAATATCATACCTTCATACAGACACTGATATGTATGTGATGGCCCATGTGAACATGGAAAAATAATATCCAATGCTCTTACACTTTTATTCTCAGAACATAAGGCTTGGCATAATGAAAAGATTGTCATGGCAACCATATTTCAGTTCTCAGTCAGAAATTTATTTTGTATGTATCATCAACATTTCATAGATTTGTTTTTAATCAATAACCAGTGATAAAGAAATTTCACAACAAACTATTTAAATATTTCACTTATTTCATCTTGTTTGATGTAATATATCAATATCAATATAGTTTCAACAAATATATGTTTTACTAACAGGGGATGAAACACTTCAAGGAGAGATAACTTGGAAAAAATCATAAACTTTAAATCAATGGGCCTATTCCATTATTTTTCAGAAAGTGCCTGATTGATAGTCTGTCAGTAAACTAGCTAGACCTTGCATATACAAGTGTACCCTTATTTCTCAATTGTAGGAAACTTAATCAGTTACCTACTGTAAACCATCAAAGAACATACCAATGAATGCAAATATTTACAGATAAGTTTAATCATCATGAGCTATTCCAATTAAAAAAACTTAAACCAACAACACCTCCCCTCCCCCCCCCCCCCAAAAAAAAAAAACCACACCACAAAACGAGTGTTTGCTGACAAATTAGTGAATTATGCTATCTAATATCTATGTAATATCATAGAAGATACAAAATTCCAGTCTATAAAGTTAAGATTTTAGAACACATCTAGTGCAATCAGAGAAAATTGAAATGATGTAGATCAGGTCATGCATTAACTACAACACCACAGTATTATTGACATATTTTTTCCTATGATCTGCCTCAAAAACAAAAAATGATTAAATTTAAGGTCAAACAAGAGCCTTCCTTCCTCTTGTAAATGTCTTGAATTTCTGTCCCAAAAAGTCTTTCTTCTTGACAGTTTTTATACACTCCTCTCCACTGTAAAACTGATAATTAATAGATAAGATATTATCATATCATCTTCCCTTAAACAAACAAGAGGCCCATACAGCTTACATTGTTCAATTGTCCTTTTAAACTGGAATTGCTTCATCAAAGCTAAAGCAAAAGGCGTACTAAATTTCAAAGAATGAAATACACACTATATCTATTTCAAATTGGGGTCCACTCCTTTGTCCTTAGGGGGTCAGCCAAATTATTCATGCTTCAGACCAAATAGTGACAGAATCCTGCCCTGCCATTCCTATCGAAGAATAATTTTAAAGAATTTGCACTATAGTCAAGATCCACAATTTATACAAAATTGATTTCCCTTCCCCAAAAAATGCTTCAGATCAAATTTGGACAAAATCCAATCATTCCTGCAGGAGAGGTAGGATTTCTATTTCCCTATTGGACCCAATCCCTCTTGCCGGAGGTGGCTGAGACCTGCGTTTATATAAAATCATTCCTCTTAACCCAAAGAATGCTTCAGACCAAATTTGGGAAATATCCGTTCATTCCTACAGGAGGAGTAGAATTTTAAATTTGTTCTTTTACCCCTATCAGGTCCCATCCCTCCCACCACAAGGGGCAGAGAAAAACTTAATATAAAACTGATTCCAATCATTTCTACAGAATGAGTAGGGCTTTAAAGGATTAGCTCTATTTTCCATTTTGAGCCTCGAAATTAATGTCATATTTGTTCTCCTCTTATAAGGATGCTTCAGATCAAATTTTGGTGACATCTGCTCAGTCATTCATGATTAGAAGCCATTTGTTAACAGATGGACACCAGTCGCTGTATCCCTTTGAACCAGGTGAGCTAAAAATGAGGTCCTCTGATTGTAGCATTCTATGATATTTTCAAAATTCAAATAAACCCCCCAGAAAACTGGGTACATCCAAAGGGTGGAAAATTGTCAGTGGTGTTTGTGCTGTGCATACCATATGACTACCTAAATCAGTCCTCATTTCATAACCAACTTCTGTTGAACATTCAAAACATTTTTGTGATGTGATATTGATTATTAAGATTTCTTGTGCACAAGGTGCAGAATTCTGTGGTGTTGAAAGATATTCTATTCAAAATGTGCATGGGAATAACTCCCACATGTTTAAGAGTTGTGCTAATGAATTCAAAATATTAAAACAAGAAGATTTTGAAAATGAGACAAAAGAAAAAAATTGACAGATAGTATTCATTCAAAACTCTTTGAAGGTAGAAATATTTGTAGATAACAAGGGGCCTGCTGAAAAATGTAAAATTACAAACTAAGATTTACTGAAATGTAACTGAGATTTAATCATGGATATACTATGTTAGTAACTTCATTCATAAATTTCAACATAGTGTGAACAGGTCCTGGAAAGATCAATATATTTACAACATTAACCATCTTGTTATTCAAACATCAACAGTATTCATACATTTTATTGTACACTGAGGGTTAGTAAATCTCTGGTTACTGTAAATCGAAGATTTTCTCATCTGACCAACCTTTATGAATTATCTCCCTTTAATCCATATGGCCATCATTATAAAATATTTGGTTTCTTTTTAAATTTCTTTTTCCTTCTGTTTATGTGAAAATTTGGTTATAATATATCCAGACACTAAAAAATAAGCCATGTTTGTTTGAGTAAATAAAATTTAACAGCATACCCAGGCAATTCATACTTTTATACATTTTTAAGAACAGTTTTGTATACATGTATTTCTCTTCTATTAATATACTTTTTTGACTGATAACTATTTATAATTTCTTCAAGAAAAAATTAACAGATCTTTTGATACAATCAGTGTGGTCGAAATGAAATAAAGTAAATGAAAATATAAAATGCATAAATGAGTTAGTATATTAGAAAAAAAAAAAAATCCAAACCAGAAACTCACCACTTCCTGGAAACAGCAGATACCAAGGAAACAGATAAGGAATTATGCAGACTCACAAAAGCCAAAGTAATGAGAGCAAACAACATTTGATACAAAGAGATTACATTTCCATATTATTTTGCATTTTGTGTAGGTTAATAGAAAATTACAAGGGTATGTAAATCTGACATCCACCTCATTTAAAGTTAAACTTGTTCAGTTAATATCTACTTTTAAACTGGGTTATAACTTTAGTAGAAATATAGTGGCAGTATGGCCATTGATGGCCAAAATATTGGCTTCAAATCCCTCCCTCACACCCCTCTCCCACCACTCTCATCGCTAATAATCTTGAATCTTAACCCTACATGGGAAAGAATTTCATACAGATATCACAGGAAAATATTTAGGGACGTAACTGAAAAAAAACCCAATAAAATCTTACAAGATGCTGGAAACATGACATGATTTGACAGATCATTTTATCATCATTTAAATAAGACCTAAACCAACCAAAATAATAATAAAAAAAAAAAAAACCAATTTGAGACCAAATCATGGTTATCTCTGATTTAAACAAGTCAAACTAAATTGCCTTGGATATTAGTGAAATACATCAAATATTTTCAAATATTTTCATTCTGTTCTTCATTCTCAACGAAAATCTCAAAACAGAATTGAATTTTTCCAAATTGTTATTTTCTTTCAAATGTTATTTGATACCAAATTTCAACCACGATAAAACACTTCTAATTCAGTTTTAATCTTATAAAACTTTCCTTCATAACTATCTTATGGCCAAAATTTCAGAAATGAAATTATTTTCAGCATTAACATTTTTATATTCCTTTGTAAATCACATTCAAAACTTCATTCCAAAATGTAACAGAAGAATGTATTTTACTTTCTTTTCTGTGCAATATAGCTGAATATGAAGCAGAATTTTATATTACTTGTGTTTACCTCTGAAAATCTTTATAAGAGGCAGGCCCAGGGATACAAAGAATTCAGAGATATCACATTAGAACAAATAATATATTTGACATAAAAAAACCCCAAAAATACCAGATATTCCCAAATAATTTAGAAATTAAAAATTCTGACCCATCATGCTAATTATCATCAATCTCTCAAGCTAAAATCTTGTAAACTGAATCTCTGCCATCAATTATATCATGCTGTGGTAGTAATATAAACACTAGATATTGTGACAAGTGGTAATAGGTATACAGTTTTTTGTGCAGGTTATATTTAAGAATAAATAATCATATACTTTCATAGATCACAACAAAAGGAATTACACAAAACAAATTTAATTGTTATATTTTTTCCATGCAGTGAGACAATGTACTGAAATATTTCACAGTTCTATAAGTAAATGAATAAAAAAATTAATACCCATAACACATTACAAATACAACAACAGAATATGCAAAAGTATAGAAAACATCAAGTTACTTTGAAGAGAGGAAGGCCATTAATTAGGGATATAAAAGGTCTCAGGATAAAGGTCATGACGGCATTACCAGAGCAACAAGCAGGGCAAAATAACACCATAATATGCTGCTGTAACTATTTCTAGAGGACATGATATATATCAAGAGATTTGCAGAGACCAGGCATGAATACTTACCGATCCAAAGCGATGAAGAACGAGGTAGGTTTCAGCCGTAGGGTTCATACCCACATGGTCAAGTTTCCATGAGATGAACTGTAACAAAAATGGCCTTAAAAGTGACTAGAGACTCATGTTTTATCTAAAATAGAAAGCAAACGCCTTCATTTTTATCTAAAGTAATATATATCAATTTTATGATGTCCTTCCACAACAGGACAGGGTTCCTGTATGTAAACATTATTGAAAGTATTCTAAATACACATATACATAAAGGTAACATCTGAGCAATTCCAGTCTTCTGCAAAATAAGGAGTGATCTGTTCATATTGATTTCTTTAAAGGAAAATATAATCTATGAACGAGAATAACTTTCATTATCACATATGACTTGTGGAGATATACATTTCAGAACAGTATCAACTTAGTTTCACATTTTATCATAAAACGAAAAATGCATTTAGATTTCATTTTCACCTTTCCTTGCCACAAATCTTAATTTCTAATTTCGACCTATCAGTATGACAATATATCGCTTGTATTTTAAGGAACAAGTGATGACCTTGTCCTTGATGGACTCCATAAATCCAGCGGTTGTTCCAGTACAATGAATCAGACACACTCCAAGGCATCGGTCCGGTTGGGCCATCTGTAAACAAACAACATGATTAAGCAATATTAGGGAAATCAACTTAAGACAGATCTCATTCTGAAGTCACTTCCATTTGCAATATCACCAATTATATCAGTATTTCCAACTCAATGATTTCAACTGGCCAACCTGGTACCAAATACTAGGATATTTTTGCCCATGTACTAGTTCATTTCTCCTCTGAGGATTGTATAAAAGGGTTGTAATACATTTTTGCTCCCATCTTACAATTCACCCTCCTGTGGTGAAAAGGGCTAAAATTAAACAGGTGAAAATTTCCAGGTATAAAGTATCTGCCTTATCAAGTAGAATGCCAGAATCCCCTGATACTTTCATATTTTTTATCAAAGCTCCGAAAATTTTCAAAATCAATTTTTTTACTTAATATGTTCAATTGTATTATATACGAAAAAAAAAAAAAAAAAAAAAAATAGGGCATCATCTAAATACATACAGGTATAATTGATTATGAGGCTTTTTTCATAAAACAGCCTGCCATTCTTGATTCTAAAGGTCTTTGATCTTGACAAGATAGAATGTAAGTTCCAGTAAAAGATCAGAGTGTGATGTTTCGATGACTACACGGTCACCTTCATCAGACAAAGAACTTCCTATTCTATTGACATTACGAGCATGAAAATTTTTCCAAAATATTTTGACCAGATACTAGTTGTTTAGATGTTAGTGACACTAGTAATGATTGCAACTTCTTTTGGCAGCAATTCGCTGATAAGCCTTATTCATGCATAAAGAATAAAGAACACTATCCAAATTATTAGTTTTATTGAAGACATTAAAATTTCTTATGTTGAAAGTTCTTACAAACTGCATGTTTGAAATTAAGTTGTACATTTTGTGTTTTTTGCTTAATAAATATTAACTAAATAATTATGATATACCACAGCTAATTTAGAAAGAGGCCCATGGGACTTCATGGTTGACTGATGTCTTCAGGTCTTTGGACAGTTTTAGAACCAATCCATCAGTCCCAGCATTGGGGCAGACAGAACAGAACTGATATATGTTTCTAAGTTTGAAGGCTTAATTTTCAATTAAAGGAAACTGATAACAATGTCTGTTGTTTTAGTTTAGCATATTTGACCCAGCATGCTCCGGGCCCAATATCATGACCCTCAATCATTTGGTTATTGAGAAGAAGTCATTTACAGATTCTAACACATTTTGACCCCTATGACTTTCAAAATAGGTCAAGGTCATTCATTTGAACAAACTTGGTAGCCCTTCAACCCAGCATGTTACTGGCCCAATACCATAACCTTTGGCTTAAAGAGAAGTTGAAAATGTAAACTGTTTATGACAGATGACACCTGTTTCAAGATGTACGGTAGACGAAGTTGCACAAAGGACGATCGCAATAGGGCTACCCCCCTCATTAGATACAATAAATTATATCTTAAGAAACTCACAGCAAATCGAGCGATGACATTTGCTCCAGCACCTTCTCCTAAGCCGATCACCTGTTTCACACTGTAAAACAGAGCATTATTTACAGTATAAGGACCACTTCAGATGACAATCCCTTACCTGAGAAACTTCCATCCTTAAGTTTAATATTCTCAATTTCTCAAGTACATTCATCCTCTATCATTTTATAAATGCACAAGAAACAACAGTGTTAGAGACAAGAATATGCAACAGAAGAGCAATTGTAGAGAATTTGAAAACTATGTCTATGTGAAGTCTATCATAGAATGACAACTTTACAACAGCTTTTATCCCCCCTCCGCCCGCCAGCTTCCAATATTGTATAAAAAAACTATTGACTATAGATTAACTATAGATTGATTAAATGTATTCTTGTTAAATTATTGAATGATAAGAAAGCAGTGCTATAATCAAGATGGTTAGCAAGCCAAGTGTTGACAAATATATACATAATTATATTGACATCTTCCACTGTAGAAAATATGTCAGGTCAGAAATATGGCAGTCATCAAGTATAGAGATACTGGTTGGCTACTTACTCCAGTTGGTCTAAGACACACACCAGGTCCTCGCCCAGACTCTGCATGCTTGGGAACTTGTAACTGAAAGTACACAACAAATCAATATCACAGTTATGGTAAGGATTGGGTACAAAAAGACTGGATAAATACAATGGAATCTTTCTGATTGTCTAAGAGACAAAATTCCATCCCTGGTAAAAGAATCTAACTTGGAATGATTTTAATCAAATCCTTTTTATCAGTTTTTGAAATCATGGTTATGTAATAATCATTTTACCCCAATATATTTAAAGTGATATTTTGAAACAATGATAAATATATGACAACTTCAAATTCAACTGATAAAGAATCAAGGCACCTGGCAGTGTTCTAGATTCTAAAATTATGATAACTTTTAGGAATTTCTAATCACATAAAACATTTGGAAATGAAAACATATCACTCTAGTCATCCTTTTTTCCACATGGTATTCATCCATCTCAAGATAAATGAATGAAAAAATTTTACCAGTAAGTTATGGTCTTTAAGGAAAGCAAAGAGCCAGAACTCTTTAAACAGTCTCTCCCATACAGTGAAGAGAATTGACAATGGTTTTGACATGACAGTACATACAGAAAACTTTCCCAATTTCAAAACATACATTAGCTATTAAGCTACAGCTATGTGTACACAAGTCTGTGTCTAAATATGATTACAAGTTTTCTAGAATTTTTTGAAATTAAAAGTCATCATGCTGTCGTTTTTTTAGTATCTACACAAAATATACACTCTTTTGTAAAAGACTACAGTGTAATCTGAATGTGCCAACGTAATTCATAACCACACAGGCAAGGCTTTTTTGCTGATGCAAACAAGAGGCCTAGCAGCCTTAATGGTCACCTGAAATTAGCAACATTGATGATAAAGGTTAAAGGTAAGTAGCTTTTAAGTCTCATGAAAAAGAAATTGTGATATTGATGATCGTAAGTGTGAATACCTGCATACCATCAAAACTGTCATCCTATACTAATAACTCTTACAAAGTTATTTCCAGTAGGAAAAAAACGTTATGCTAAAAAACAATTTTTCTATAAAAATTACAGAAGTTAACCTCCCTCCCCTCAGGCGCCTAATAGGGTTCATCTTAGGCCTGGGAAGGTTTCTGCAAAATTTCCTTGAAATCAGTTCAGGGGTTTTTGAGAAGTTGAAATATTAAATTGTTTACTGATACCTGACCCTGGAGGTGATCACAATAGGTCACCTGAGATAAAATCAGCAATTTGTGATATTTTTTAGAATCTGTTATTACAGTAAATAACTAAATCAACTAGTGACCTCACATCAACGTATAAGACAGGAGAGAAAATGCTGCACTGTCTCAGTTACCTCATCCAAATACATAATACTGTTAAGATTCCTGAAATTAAAAGTTCCCCTGGAGATTGATTCACAATATCTTAACATACGGTAGAGTCTGTGCTAAATCTTAAGGTAAAGAGACTGGATCCTTAATTTTTGAATGTCATAGTGTATGTATCATAAGATAAGATACAGAATAGCATACTGAGGAACTGCTGAAAACATATTCATTTGTTCTATCTCAGAATTTTGTAATAAAATTCAAAGCAAGGGGAGGTAATTAAGGATGACTATGGAGTCAAGTAAGATATTGGTTACAATGCGGAAAGCTTAAGTAGACACTTAATGCCAGACTGGGTAGGTCTAATAATTTGACAGATTGTCTTTGAGAGAACAATAATTTCCCATGTGAGATTCAAATCAGACTGGAGAGGAATTACACACAGAAGATGGCAGGCTACTGTGTGACAAAAATGCACCTTCCTGTCCATGAAGATTGAAATAAGAGTACACTATAAACAACTTTCTGCATCCACTGTCAATAAAGCAGTTCTTTCTTGGACTGCAGTCAAGTCTTGGTTGACTAAATGCACGTTAAGAGACCTCTGCAGACGTATCACAGTAAGAATATCTCCCTTCCCTCTCATTCCTCCCATCCCAGAGCTTATATAGACTACATACAAAAGGTAATACCATCAAAGTGGAATCAGATATGATTCATTTCTGCAGTAATTACATTCTTTGCTCTGTAAGATTGACAATACACATCTAGACTCTACCTACTGCCAAAGACAGGGTTTACAATAGGGTTTACAACAACATTTTTTTCTATATGGACTAGTCCAGTTTGATTATAATTAACGGCTGATGACATAGATTTTATTGTGATTAATCAGGCTTAATAAAAAGTATCTGATAGTCAGACTAACAAATCTGGTAATAGCAATGATTTTTATGCGTACTTAATATTTCTTTTATGATGTGCAATTAAAAGTTACGCTACAAGATATGCTTGAACTATATTCAAAATGTCTGTAAAAAGGTTTTAAGAGCTTTTTCCAAGACAAAATGGAGATTTGACAGAAGGGGAGCAACTCCCATACATATATATTTGTATGTCAAAACCAATTACATATTTTTTACTCTTCTTTATCCCATCTATGTTATTTAACACAATATTTTATAATTGAATTGAAACAACTTTAAAATTGAATTAAAACATTGTATTACAATTGGTCGAACAAGTTTTAAAGATTTGGAAAATATTTCTAAGAAGTGGATATAACTTCAAAAAAACAAGTAAAAGCTAGAAAATATCTGTAGGACATGAATGTCTCTTATCCCAGTTATATAAGTATCATTTTTTGATAAATTTCAAGTGATCAAAATTGACCTTTGACCCTATAAAACTAACCAGTGATCACTGTAATATGGTAAGGTGTAGAACTTCTTATCATGAAACTATTGGGTAACAATGAACGAAATCTATTGAGAGGTATTATCTCAAGACATGACATTGATTAAGAACAGGGTGTGACATGACAGATGGGATGGATTGACATTAGGGTAATATATATATCTATATGCATCCTTATAAATTATAGTTCAAGGGCAGACGAAGTGAACACAGTGCAAACTTTCCAAGAATGGTGATATTATCCATGGAAATCAAAGGCTGGATGAAAGCTGGTGTTATATATGTTTTTTTCCTGACAAGATTTTATCAGAACAGCCAACTCAAATCCAATATGATTACTTACATTAGCTTCACTGAAATAATGTTCACAAGCAGAACATTGCCATACAAATTAGATCTTTACATTTTCCCCAATGTGTAGAACTCTTTTGGACAGAAAACTGATCAAAATCAATGCAAAACTGCATATGTATCACATATCTTCAAATTCAATGTGTTTTAATCAAATGACTATAAATAGAAACATTATCGTAGGCATACTGTAGGACTTAAATCAATGCGGAGCCCCAGTTTAGCTTGGGGCAGTCACCACTGTAGACCTACAAGTGTTAACAAAGATTTCTAAACAACAGCTAGATCGAGCATTCCGTTTATTAAATTACAAATTTATCAAAGGAGTAATTGTATTTTAAACATCAAGTTATTTCAACACTCCAATCACTACATCCTGGGAGCAGTCTACACATATAAAAATTATTTCATGGTTGTGAGTGCAGGCAGAAATGTTGCAAAGGTCAGACATGGTAGTGCTTTACTATCCCCTTTATGGTTTTAGATCTTCCTTATCTCATCACCACTGTGAAATATCACCAGACTTGTTTACATCACAGGTCTTGTGTAATAGCATTAGGTGTTGCAAGAAGTGGGAAGTATGCCCAACAAATAGATAGCATAGTGTACGCTACACAGTCATAACAGGTGGTTTCTGCAGAGTGTATTTGTAATAGCAGCTTTTAACAAGAGAACTAACTGTCCTGTACTGTTCTCTATTTTACTGACTATATACACATCCAGAAACCACAAATTTTACAATATCACTAGAGGTATTCTTTACATTTATTTCATTTAACGTTTGCCAGAGGAGAAATTTAGTGTTTTTGAAAAACAGTACTGTTTTGGTCCCATCCAACGGTCCCAGGAGGTTGGAGAATATGATTTTTTCAATATTGATGTCTCTTCAGGTATTGATGCTAGTGACCAGGTTTGGTTTGAAGACTGGCCCTGCAGTTCTTGAAAAGATGAAAATGTGAAAAGCTGACAGATGACAGATGACAGATGGCACACAACATGACCACAGACAAAAATCGATGGCATTAAGGTCACCATGAACTTTTAAAAACTAAGGATTCCAGGCCTAGTGGATACTTTTGTCAATTTTTGAAAAGTTTTTGAAACATGATTCCAGTTACCTTTTAACGTAGGTCATGCAATTGTTTGAACATTTAACAAAGACAGTAATTCATATCAATTCACCCACATAATTAATAAAAACTCCAGCGATACTTCCAAATAATCTAAATCTCATCCTCTAAATGACAAACATGGCAGAAACAACATCTTTTATTTCGTTGACCTTAATGAAATATATGGAGATTATTTGTCAGAGCATTGTCTAAAACTTAATCAATTAACCAAAGCTGAGACAGGAGGCCACACAAATTGAAGGGTATATATTGGACAAGCTGTCAGTCCAACTCCTGACCAATGTAATGATATACATCCCAAGACACTAGAGTGAGTAATTGAGAATTCACTAAGTGAAAATTATGACCATAAATGTTACAGAATATGAGGAAACAGCCAGCCGCTTATCACACTTCCAGAATGGATGTTCTTCACAATGATATTCCAAGTTCAGGCGAAGGAAAGTCCATTAATCAGACCTGTGTTCTGACGTGAATGGTTGAATAACTGGAGGTTCATTTAAAACATTTCCTTTGCATTAGTAATGTCAATAAAACAGAAGTTCTCACAACATAACCAGAAGAACATTACAGTGCGATGTTTTGATGATGGTCACCTTCATCAGACAAATGACTATTGTGGAGTGTACAAGCACTAATGTATGTAGTGTACCAAATGGAAAAGAATCGATAAACTTTTTCAGTTTTCATTTAAAAATGGCAAAAGAAGGTTTATTTCCATGATTCAAAATAAAATAACATACCTGCTTAAAAGCAAATTTATGTAAGAAAGAGACCCATGGGCCTTCACAAGCAACATCTCACTTTTCTTCGCTAAAAAGATGACATCTGATTGTATGGTT